TCACTACATTTGAATTTTATTATAAGTTTGTCACTCAACATAAATATTTGCTAGAATTAGGTCATTCTACCTATGTATGTTATTTTGATTAATAAAATGTGATAGAATAGTATGATCAATAGGTCATTCTACCTATGTATGTTATTTTGATTAATAAAATGTGATAGAATAGTATGATCAAATTGAAACAAAGTGAAGACATAGCGACCAACTTGAAACAAAATGAACTTTGGCGACTAACATTTAATTCCACTAAAAGTTGATGACTACTGGTTATCCCCCAAATATTTGTACATGTAACCTTCTACTTCCCCTAAGCTTGAAAATCCATAAAAAATAATTTTAAAAACTGTTGTATCTGAATTAAAGGACATATTACTATTATTTGAAAATTCAAAATGAATATAAACAGTTGGCTTAAGAAATAACAACCTATTGTTCTAAGGACTTTTTTCTTCATGTCTATATATAGGTATGTGTATGCAGCAGTAGGAGATCCAATGCCAAAAATATCGGGGGTGGTGAAGCTTGACGTATCGGTGTCTGAATCCAATCGTTGTGACTGCATCGTGGCGAGTCGGCTTTATGGAGAAGGTTGCTTTGGTGGTGAACCATTTTTTGTGGCGAAAGAGCCTAACAATCCAAGTGCAGATGAAGATGATGGTTATGTGGTGAGTTATGTGCATAATGAGAAGACTGGAGAATCAAGATTCTTGGTTATGGATGCCAAATCCCCAAATCTTGATATTGTGGCTGCTGTTGAGCTTCCAAGGAGGGTGCCTTATGGCTTCCATGGGCTCTTTGTCAGTGAAAATGACCTCAACAAGCTATGAAAAAGAAATGTGGGCTGGAATATAGAATGGACATAATACGAGTTTCTTGTACATAATTCATTGTTGCAATCTACATTGTGGGGGGAATAGAACTGGAATATAAGTTGTATAATGTTGAAGATTGATATAAAACATGTTGTTGAATAGATGGAAGAGAAATTGAATAAAAAATGGGAAAAGGTAATAGTAGAAGAAAAACATTCTAATTTTGGATTGGGCCATAAGATCATTCCAGAAGGAGAACAACAAGACAACTACTCACTGCTATGCTATGATGTACAATGAATTTCAACCATTCGAGTTAGTTTAGGACTTGAAAATTGATTTTCAAAGATTTGGCGCTATTTCTGTCATTTAATTTATTTTGGACTTTTTTTAATTTTAGTTTGTTTAAACTTTATTTTCATTAACTTTAGTTGTTTTAAATTACGTTTCTAAAGGGGTTATTTCGTTGTTTTCATTATCATTCAATAATAAAATTCGTGATTTTATTTCCTTTATCATTTGGTGGATTCCAAATTTTGTTTTCTTAAATTTTTCGCTTGAATTCCTTGTTTCGCGCTGCGTCAAAGATAAAATTAAAATAAATGCACGTTAGAATGTGTCATCTATTTAGTAAATTTTTCGTTGAGGTGGTTCATTAGGCTTCAATATTAAATTAAGTATTGTCACTAATCAATTATAATGAATTTGCAGGTGGTAGGCTCTTAGTAAAAACAGAATAATCCGTCATACATGTTAGGATAATTTAAAGATATGATTTAAATCAATAAATGTATCCCATTTTTAATCGAGTGGATGTAATGTAAAAAAGGAAGATTTTGATGAGTCGTTTCTAGTCGAGATCAATGTTGAAACATTTCTTTTTCATTATTGCATAAAATGGTGACTTGTAACCAATGAAAAGTTATGAAGGGATAGAAA